GTGGATTCTGGAGTCATATCGTCTTTCCATACATCTTTATCTAACACGTAATCTTCAATTTTGTAATATGATTTTTCGATCAAAATATTTTTAATGTAGTTTTTAAACTTAGGAAATGATAAACTTAATATATGCTCCGGAATCTTATTGTAAAAACGTATACAGTTCCCCATAAAAAAGTTGTTTACCTTGGTTAAACGAAATCGTGGTACCATGAGTTTGGACTTCGTTTATTAATTTCATTATTCAAACAAAATCAAATTTTATTCCAAATTTTTTAATGCAATAATTTTACCAAATACCTAGCAAATGCTTATACTGTGTTTTGCTTATGACTGCTACAATAACTTATGTACATAAACATTCAAAGTTAGTAAGCGCACAGATTGCTTAATAGTTATGGTAAGGGTATAAAATTACATCAATATTGTGACCATTCAATGAATGGTACCCTACCTATCACTATCACTTTTTTTACATTAAAAAGAAAATTGTTTAAGAGCAACCTTGATTTGTGTTTATGGGCTCTCCTGTAAAATGTTATCTAAAGCACTTACTAGGTTTTGTTATGGGGCCACCGTGCAATTTAGGGCTATTCAAGGCTACAGTCATGAATATGGCAGAATTGCCATGACTATGGAACTTGTAAATACCCCGCAACGTTGGTTTTGTTTGAAAAAACAAATATAAGCCATTTTAGAACTGGAGAAAATACTTTCGTTTCCTATAATATGTCAGACAACCACAGCAATTGCCCGATCATAGATAAGATTTTTGAAATATTTAGTAAATCGTAAAAGCAAGTCGAGTTGAAAGGGAGACTATGATGATAAACTATTTATGTACCTACAGTAAAATACTTCCTGTAAAAGCAAAAGTTCAATATTTGGTCGCTATTGAAAACTATTATAAAACATAATTTACAATTAACGTAACGAACAAATAAAATACTAGGCGATAACCGTGAAAATAAATATGTATGTACAAAAATAAGCAACTATTATAATAAAGGAACAAATAGACATTTCTTGCCAATTATATTTAACATATTCGATTTTTTGAGAGGCAGAGAATTGCTATGTAAATTTACTTTGAAGAAAAATTTAAATTTATACTTCTTGAAAGTATGTGTGCGTTAACTTAATTCACCTAGGTGCATTAAATACTCTTTTAGTAAACTTAAATCACCTGGGTGCATTAGATAAACATAAAAGGAAACTGTATTCACCACGATATTTAAGGATGCCAGGATTCAACTGGTTACATGGTACAGATACGGTGATGAAAAACTTCGTGATGAAACCTGCATGTCGAAGAAGGTTCACAATGAAGTCTCCAACTCGCATTGGACTAGCATGGCGATATGGCCTAAATCCTCGCATGAGAGGAGACTCTACTCAGCAATGGGCCATACAAATAGGTTACAGGTTACAGATGAGTGTTCTGAGTAATGCACCCAGGTGATTTAAGTTTACTAAAAGTGTCCTTAATGCACCTGGGTGAACTAATTCAGGTGAATTAAGTTAAGGCACCCGTAATTAGATAAAGTCTACACTGGTTTTAATAATTGTACTCGTACTTGGTTTTCTTTTTATATATAACATGAAGTGACGGGACGAACCAGTCGTGCGCCTGATAGTAAGCTACACGCCTGTCCATAACAGTTACAGTGCCACTCAGAGCTTTAAATCACACAGATCTGAGGGCCACTACCACTGCAGCCGTCACCCTGAGACATAAGATGACAAGTCCCACGTGCCTGTAATTTCACCAGCCCTTCAAAATCGGAACACATTAATGCTGACATTACTGCTAGGCGGCAGAAATAGGTAAGGTGGCGATACTACCCTGGAGGAACTCTTTCACGAGGAGCTCTACGGCTACTATAACTAGGTATACTGAAGTTTGTGATAATGAGTGGAACGTCACTGAAATTTGAAATTGTGTTATGTTTTCTTGTATGCCTTTTGTATGGAATAAATAAATAAAGATTTTAAATATATGGAACAAGGATATAAGGCTATTGTGGCCAAGCATTCGTATATTTCAGATTGAAACAATAATGTGGTTATTATGAGGACGGATCGATTAACATCAATAATACTCCGCTGCAAAGCCTTGAGTGCTGGCACAAGGTTGTTTGTTTGCCGATAATTTAGACGAATCTACGTTGAGTTGCACTAATTGATTCCGATATCCCCGTTCTATCTTCTGAAAACGTTGTTTGAAGAGAACAGGCGAAGTTTGAAAAGAAGTATATGGGCGCATTTATTCGACACGAATTTCATCGCATACACCCCGCGCGGCCACCGGAGAAGGCGTTGCCGCCTTACAGCGACCGCTTGCATGCAATTGTCAAATTGGCAAAATACGCCCTGCTTATTTAACTTGTAGATACTTTTAACTCAAATGAGCGTCCCGGGCGCGCGGGCGAAACTGGCTTTAATTTATCTGGTCTACGCGGCGGCTAAACCGCGCGGTTGTAATTTTCACTGGGCGGTGGCCGCGCGGCGGTCGCGCGAAAACTTTCGCATCGTGTAACTGGGCGCTTATGCTGAGACTCTGCCTTTTTACCATTTGTAGTAGAAATCAGTGTAGCACTCAGTTCATAAAATATACAATATAAATTTTCTTCTGAGGTATAGATGTTTTTCTGCATGTGTATGATAAATAGAGCTCTTATTTCTGTTATTTATATACATTGCTAGGACCACATTGTCACTTTCCGACAGACGAGATTGTGTTTCTATTATAAAAATACAATGTATACACTTATTTTTAGTTTTCCTGCTTCGATTTACAATAGAAGACTTGTAACTTTTTTAGTTAGCGATGATAAGTAGGAAATGTCATTTGACAAAAAAACCACACAATACACGTCTTCCTTGACTCATCATCATGTGTCCGCGACTAAGTAGTTAAGTATCACCATTCCACTTATGGTGTGTAGAACAGTGAAAAAAGAAAAATAGCCTAATAGCTAAAAACCAGCGTCTGTAATTGGTATTGTTCCTCGCTACAGAGATAACTAATGCTGAAAAACAAAGGCGTCTTTGACTCGGTCGAGTGCACGGCATTATTGCGACCTTGTCCGTGTCAATGCTGTATTCCTATTAGTTACAGCGAATCGTGTGTACTGAATTAAACATTGATATTAGAATGTTTTAGGCTTAGTTTTTTCTCTTATTTACCACTTCTTGTATTTGTATACTGTTATGCTGCTCTATGCGCATCTGTAATAAAATTCATTTATTTCGGATAACAGCGACCCATAACATGCATCAAACATAAAATTGAATCAATTTATAAAAGTCAATTAACAATTAAATTATCTTAAAATCCCTTATATACATTATATATATAATCAATCAAATATAATAAAATCAGTATAAAATTAACAAATTATAATAAAATTAACTGTACTTTAAAACCATAGACTGACATAATAAAATTAACATAAAATCTAATTTTCAAAACTGAAAACTGTTGCCTATTGCCGCTATACCTATATGTGTAATAAAACAATTTTTGCAAAAATATAAAAAAATAAAAACTGTCGTGAAACAAATAATAGGGGTTAAAGTATGAAATTGCCGATTTGTACTGAAAATCTAAATTGTTTATTTTTTAAATTTTTAACAAATTTATTTAATCAAAATAGTTGCCATTATTATCTATACATTGCTGCCATCTAATGGGAAGGTTATTAATGCCTTTGCGATAGAACTCCGACGATCTAGACTGCACAAACTGTGTGAAAGCATTTTGTACTGCCTCCTGGGAAGAAAACTTCTTGTCACGTAGATAATTGTCCAAATCACGAAAAAAATGGTAGTCCGTTGGAGCAAGGTCTGGTGAATACGGAGGATGACGAATGGTTTCTAACTGCAGTTCCTGAAGGGTCAAAATGGTTTCTCGTGCTGTGTGAGGTCTCGCCTTGTCGTGGAGCAATAATGGTGAAGATCGATTCATGAGTCGGGGCTGTTTTACTGCTAGTTTTGTCAACATGGTTCGGAGTTCGGCACAATAGACATCTGCCGTTATTGCTTGACCAGATCGGAGAAAACTATAGTGAATAACACCATGCTGAGACCACCAAACAGTTACCATTACCTTTTTATTGGTAAGTTTTGCTTTAGGACACTGTTGTGGCATTTGACCTGGGGTCAGCCATTGCATTTTTCTTTTCCGGTTATCATAAAGAATCCACTTTTCATCACATGTTACAATTCGATCCAATATTCCTTCATTTCTGTACCGGTTCAACAAGGCAACACAAGTTTCAACACACGTTTCTTTCTGCAGATCAGTCAAATCATGAGGCACCCATTTTTCGTATTTTTTTATTTTATTGATTTGACGCAAGTGAGTCAATATTGTGGGTAAGGTAACGTTAAACCATGCCGCTAATTCGTGGGTAGTTTGACTAGGATCGGCTTCCACTATCTCTCTTAATTCATCGTTATTCACCTGTGTGGGCGGTCTTCCTCGTGGCTCGTTCTTTAAGTCGAAATTTCCATCACGAAAGCGTTTAAACCAAAATCGCACGGTGCGTTCATTAGTAGACCCCTCTCCAAACGCAGCATTGATATTGTGGGCTGTTTCTGCCGCGTTAGTTCCGCGTCGGAACTCGTATACAAAAATCACTCGAATTTTCGCAGTATCCATCTTTCTTGTCTAAATTGAATAACAAAAACAATTGAAAGTCGATATTCAAATGTTTCAAATTTAAAAAAAAAAAAACACAGAAACCATTTGAAAAAAGTTTCATTCGAAAACCTCAAACCATGAAGATTCTATGAAAATTCAAAGAACCTATGGCAATAAAACGGCAATTTCATACTTTAACCCCTAATACTTTGTACAAAAGGCGGCCTGTAAGCGCAATCAGATTATTTAAAAATACTCCTGGACTCCAGTTTCAGACCCGGTGATTGGTAAGAACGTCTGGAACATTTCAATGTAATTTGTTAAATGTGATGTAATGATATTTGTTTCAGAACCTCGACGAAGTGCACATAGCCCTGGAGGTGTGCGAAGAGCCGCGAGTGGTCAACCCCACTGCGGCAGGTGCAATGCCTATACCAGGCAAATACAGCTACATACACAAGGTAATTAACACTTGAAGTACCTGCAAGGGCGCGTTCCCATTGTGTCGTGGCGACAGATAGTCGTGCAGTTTAAAGTGTCGTGGCTATACTTAAATTAAGTTGTTTACATATAGTACAACACAACCAATTGTCGTTCACGACTTTGACTTTACGACGACAGACAATCGTGACAATGAGAAGAGCTAAAACGACAGTCGTCGGACGATAAATCAAACGTTACGATAAAAATGTAACTACTTATAATCGCAGCTTAAACTATTTTGTCGTGCAAACGACAAGGCGGCTGCCGTGAACCGATAAATTGTCGTCACTATGTAGTGCAGCCTTTCCCAAACTGGGCGATAACGCCCCTTGTGGGCGCTGCAGACCTAAAGGGAGGGCGGTAAGAGACCCTGAAAAAAAAATGGGGGCGTTGTGTAGAGGCTTAGGGGGAGATTTGTAATTTCATCTAGGAAGACTCTAAGGGCCGTATTCCAGAACTCAACTCAATGCTCAAGTCAGGATCTGAGTATGATTTCAAGCACTGGAAATACGACCATAATGGCAGGGACTTGAGTATGATTTCGAGTGCTTTAAACCATACTCAAATCCTGACTTGAGCATTGAGTAGAGTTCTAGAATACGACCCTTAGGGTCGTATTCCAGAACTCTACTCAATACTCAAGTCAGGACTTGAGTATTGCAATGAGCACTGAAAATCATACTCAAATCCTTGCCATTAGCGTCGTATTTCCAGTGCTTGAAATCATACTCAAGTCTGCTCAAGTCCTGACATGAGCATTGAGTAGAGTTCTGGAATACGACCCTTAGACACCGACTGAGCTCTCGACTCTCGACTACAACTTGCGAACATAAACTAATATTAATTACGAGATTGCTCAAACAAATTCGGTTCGATATTGCTCTCCGTGCAGTTCATATATCTGTCCTGTTTTACTGAATAAATAAAAATCATGTCAATCGGTCGCTCCGTTTCGAAATGAAAGTAGACACAAACAAACAAATAGAAAGGCAACAGACACAGTTTCGCATTTTAATAGTTATTAGTATTCCTAGATAGGTAATTTTCGTAGATAATAGACCGCGGGCAATCATGTTTTAACATAGTTTTGTTAAATAACCCGATTTGTGCAATCCTATATCAATCGGCTTGTTCATAGAATACTTGTTATTACTTGTTTAGTACGATTGAGCGTCAAATGAGATAAATGAGTTTATGCATGTTTGTCTTATTCCTGTCGGTGCGTGCTGCTTATGCAATCCTATATAAACAACGAAATATTTATTTTATTTTCATTTGCGGTTTCGCGCGTAATAGATAAGCAGTACTTATCAACACTTACTTACGTATTTCTCAAAACAAAACAATGTCGCAAGTAAAAAAGAAGAGACGGCAATACTGTGCGGAATATATTAAATTCGGATTCATTGAAAATCCCACAAACCCATAGTCGCCTTTGTGCCTTTTATGTCTAAAACATTCTCGAATGAAGCAATGAAGCCTTCAAGACTGCAAGTTCATTTGAATAAAATGCTTCCAGATAAGAAAGACAACAATGTAGCATATTTTCAAAACCTAGAGAAGGAGCATAATACTCAGCCAAGTGTAGCAAAACTCTTTTCGGCGGCTGCTAAGCAAGATGACGACGGACTTCGAGCTTCGTATAATATCTCTTTGTTAATTGCTCAAAAAGGCAAACCACACAACATCGGTGAAGAGTTTATTTTGCCAGCATTAAAGGAAGTAATAACTACTGTGCTTCGTAAACCGGCCGCAGATATTATCCGAAAAATTCCGTTGAGTAATAATTCTGTTCAAAGACGAATTGATGAAATGGCTGAAAACATTGAAGAATCATTGTGCAATTATCTGAGGACTAGTCAATTCTCAATTAAGCTCGTCCACTTTACCAACTAATGAAGCACTGTGGCTGTTTATTTATTTATTATTTATATTTATTATTGTTTATTAAAGATGAGAAAATATGTGAAGAACTATTGTTTGCTAGAAATTTAGAGACCGATACAAAAGGCGAAACCATATTCAATACATTGGAAAAGTTTTGTGACGAGAAAGAGATACCCCTGAAAAATATTGTATCACTTGCTACGGATGGCGCTCCGACTATGACGTACTTAAAAAATAAAATTCCATTTGGTTGCTAGAAATTTAAGTGAACGACTATTTCAATCTCTGCAATATGTCATCAAAGCAGTCAATAAAATCCGTAACAGCTCTTTGAATGATAGATTATTTCATCAGCTTTGTGTTACTAATGACGAAGATTTCAACCGTTTGTTGTTTCATACTGAAGTTCGTTGGCTATCAAGAGGCAATTGTCTGACTCGATTTTACAATCTGTTTGTCTCTGTGATAGAGTTCTTGGAAACTAAAGATACAGAATTGCGCAACAAGCTCATTACATCAAAGAATGATATAGCTTACATGACAGACCTGTATAAATTGATCAACGACATGAATCTCCAACTGTAAGGCGATGAACTAAATTTAATTAAAACAAAAATGTCGTTCTTGTTTCTCAGCCAAACTGCTTCTAAAGAATATGGGCAGACGTGAGTTTCACAATTTTCCGAATATATCAGTATCCTGCAGTAGCGACGACTTGTTTGCCTACTGCCAACATTTGGAAAACCTCCACATTGACTTCACCAAAGGATACCAGGACATTTTGAACTTGGAAATCCCAGACTGGGTGTTGGATCCGTTTTCAAATGTCAACACAGCAATATCACATCAGCTGGAAGAAGAACTTATAGAATCCACAACGAACGGGGAAATAAAAATCAAATTCAAAAATAGCTACCAAGAATTTTGGCTACAAAAACCGATCCCGCAATTGTACCCTGGATTGTGGTCAATCGTTCAACGATTCTTGATAGCATTCCCATCGTCATATTTGTGTGAACGTGGTTTTAGTGCTGTGACAACGCTGCTTACTAAAAAGAGAAATCGTTTGCATATTCCCGAACGTGGTGACTTGCGGCTGTTCTCGAGTAAATTGGAACGTGATATCAACAAACTTATTAAACAGCGTCAGATTCATCCTTCACATTAGCTTTGATATTAGAATCGATTATGTTTGTTTTATTTTGAATAAAAGATACTCTGTCTGAATACTATAAAGTTGCGTTTCAATAATCATTCTCATTGGCAGGTGTAGCCCGTAAGAATTAACTTGAGATCTGAGCGCCGTTGTGTACTACCTACTGCGCTCAGGTCTCAAGTTAACTCTTGCGGGTTATAGTAAAAGTCTCGTTTAGAATGAATGTTTAAGCTCCGCTAATATAGCTCACAATAATTAATTTTAATTTGAAGTTATTTCGATTTTTAAGTAGGTGAAAAAATGGGGGCGCTAAAAAATAATTTATTCTCAAAGTGGGTAGTAGACAAAATAAGTTTGGGAAGCCCTGATCTAGTGGGTACAGCTAGACACGACAGTCGTTCAACGATAAAATAAACGTCCACAACAAAGTCACGACAGATAATCGTGATATAGGAACAGGCTAGAAACTACAGTTGCCCAACGATAAATAAAACGTTACGATATAATGGGAACGTGCACTTACCGCCCACGTGTCACTTGTGCAGTGAAAAATCGCATATAAACAGATTTTTACACAGCCTTGTTGCCTACCCCAGTAGGGTTCAAGCTTCGTAGAAAGTATGCAAAACATTTCACTTGTTGGACATAGCCATAACATATACAGATGCAGAGGACTAATACTACAAGTACAAAGCCCTCGCTGATTTCGTAATCGTTGAGAAAACACTAAAAATATGTTTACACAGATGCCTACTGTGAAGATAATGTACTGTAATTACATAATGGACTTAATTTCATCGAACTGAAGGTTATTTTCTGCTATGTCATAGCACAAAAACATTTTTTTTTAAACTTGTTTTCGAAACCTCTACACAAAAACTCTGAGGTGCGTTATTCAAAACGTCTAGACAATGTTTCTGTCTTATAACAATTTCATTACAGAGACAGAATATAATAGGACAATGATTTAGGAATTTACATAACCTAAAATTCATGTGACGTAAAGAATAATGTGGATATTCAATTCTACAAATTCCGGAACTTCTCGGAACTTATTATATTTGCACATGCGTGTTATTGATATCTTTGAGTACATTGGCGACAAATTATATCTTATTGAATTTCCTAGTATAAAATGTAATATTATAGTTGTGTTTCTATAGGTTCGATTTACTTAGCATTCGCTTTAGAAATAAGTAATTGATTTCTCTTTCTCACAGCATAGAAAGCAGTAACTGCTATCTCTTCACACAGTACGAAAACAAAATAACAATAGAAACCATTGCCATTATCAAATATTGGCGGTTTCTATTGTTAGATGTCTTGTTTTTAACATAACAGCAGCTGCTAAGATTGCTCAACAATGTTAGTTTTATTTTCAAAGATATGTATATTCCCAGGGTCTAGAGGTCTTGAATTTTTGAAAGCTATTAATTACATAGTACCAGATCACCTAGACACCGTGCATCTTAATTATTCCACCAATTTAAGATATATTTCTCCTTTTGAGATTGTTCTCTCACTCACTTCAGTAAGTCAGTGTGTATAAACGTTGTAATTATTATAAACATACATGTAAATAAAACTGAAAGAAATGCCTATATTAATTTTATTCGTTGTCTAAATTTTATAATATGCGTTATCAATGTATAATATCATTATCAACGATATCATCGTAATATGAATACCGGTATTCCTTTTATCGTATCACGAAATGGGTATGACCATACTAAGAAAACATTCAAATGAAATTAACTCCCTCAATTCTGATCACTGATGATGAGTTATTTTCTTTTTTTAAATATTTTTAATAAATGCATATTGTATGCAATCGCTGACTATTATCATTAAACAATGGCGATCAATGATATAATGATTTTTAATTGTCATTGCTGGCATGTGCTTTTTTTTTGCAGTTTGTTAATATGTTATTAGCCTGTTAGTTTGTTGTGGCCTTGGTTTGGCACAGACACAGATGCGACTCCTGTCAGGCCGAAAAAAAATTTGTTTGTGTCATATCTTTGTATTAATAAATTATAACAAACTAGTGGGGAATTTCCCAAAAAAATATGTCATCATCATCATGATATTCAATAAAAAAAATAAATGTTAGCAAAATTCTGAAACGTGATTCTTTCCATTAACGTATATGTATGTTGTTCTACATTTTTAGAAATTCAATTTATAGAAATTCAATTACAAATCATAACTTCTGTTTCACACATTTGCGATGGTCGTAAATATTTAATTTTTTTCAAACACTTTTCTTAACATATTCCATTTACTCTTTCCAGGTCATAGACGGAATATCAGTGGCTGTTAACCAGGTTCAAATAGACTTCAGGTGTGACGCGTTCACCAGCAGTGTTCAGGTATACCTTATTTATATAGATATACCTTATTTACTAATAACCAATCAATTACTAACTTTTGTAACTGTAGCGAAAAAATAGAGTGGTTTGCATTAATATTAAACAAAACTGGTTGATGACTTTACAACCCCAATCAACCCTGACCATGGGACCTGTAAAGGGACCGAAACTTTGGTTTATTTGAAAAAACAAATATACACGATTTAAATCCGGGAAAAATAGTTTCATTTCCTATGTGTAACAATCGCGAAAACCTAAGAACTCGATAATAATAAATTAATTAATAAAGTCGATTTTATTATTTGATATAGATCTCTCGAGTGACCGTGGAGTCAAGGACGCCGGAGGGGCGCAAAGGAGACCTAAGACTGACTAGAATCAAATCGCCCGACACCGGACAGCTGCTTATATTTAAAGTAAACAATGTTTATTTACATATTGATATCGTATTTTCATTATATCATTATATTTGATAAACATAAAATTCAGACTCATTGATTATATATAAAATGCTTTTTTGGTTGAAACTGCCATTTGACTGCATATTGAAATGTACATGTCAATGTCATTGTGACATAGATGACTTTTATGAAATGTCAGTCTTGTGTGCATTCTATAATCTTCTTTTTGTTGTTGTTGATTATTGTGTTGCTCTATAACACATAGTCTACTAAACTACCCACATATACTCACGCCAATCCAAATGAATTCACATTAAAGGGGTGTACACAGGGGTAAACAGTATCGATTGTTAGTTTGTATGATCTTGACAAACTTCTCTTGCTTCAGTTGCATTTTTCTTTCTTTCTATTCTTCTCGATTTGATCTGAAAACGTTCTTCGCGACCGTTCTCTTCCAATCTTACTTTTCTCTTTGGCTCTAATGATGCCTTCCTCTTTTAACTGCCTCCGTAGCCAAACGGTTACCATGCTGGTCTGACACGTAAAGGTCCTGGGTTCGGTCCCCGAGCCGGGACAAATATTTGTATGGCCTACATTTATTTGTCACGTGAGTGTGGGCGTAATTTGTGGTTATCTATGTGTATGTCCATGGCACCCGCGACACAGGGTTTTGGGTGTGCGTTATTTATTTATATATCTCTTTCGCAACTCTCATTTCATTCATAATAATGTTATACATGATTTAACTCGACGTGTAATAAATTATATTTTTAAGGAATTGGAATGGCAAAGCGCGCGTATAGAAGCAAAGGCGCACAGCGCTGCGACGGCCAATCTACAACCCCTGCGCCTGCTCTTCGGCAATACCCATTGCCGTATTGTCATCAAGAAACGGCTGTCAGGTACGTAAAACCGTGACAAATGTAAGCCAAAATGCTGAACAAATCGTGCGCCTGATGGGGCTCTCCAACTGCTACCTTCACCTTGAGACGTAAAGTTCACAAGCCCTATGTGCTTTTAGTTTTATCAGCGCCCAGTTACACGAGAAGAAAGACTTCGCGCGGCCGCCGCGCAGCGACCACCCAGTTACAACGCCTTCATGTACATTAATGGCGAATCTAAATTCTATTTATTATACAACAATATTTAAATTCCTCTCAATAAAATTACCGCGCGGCCGCCGCATAGACCAAATTCAAGCCAGGCTAGCCCGCGATCCCGGAACGCTCATTTAAATTAAAACGTAAAACCTAAACAACTAGAGCGTATTTTGCCACGACAGTTAGACGCGCCGGCAACACGGACTCCGCTTGGTGACCGCGCGGGGTGAGCGCGATGACATTCGTGTCGAATAAATGCGCCCTTAGGCTTCAAAACGTATACTGAAAAATATCTAGAATGATCCCTGTGACAGTTCATCTACAAGATATAACCTTGTAACAACGCGCACCAATTTACGTATTTCATAAACTATTTTTATAAAACTCACTTGTATATTAATAGCTTCTGTTTAAGTAAATACATTAAGTAAGGCAAAAAGAACACCAAATCATTGTTTATTTGTAAGAAATAAGCGGGAAAACTTTTTTTTTCAAAATTCATTAATTTTTTACGCCAACGTGCAAAGGTTACTTCATTACATTGCATTTGTTAGAAATGAGGTACATCGATAAAAAATATCGAAAATTTAATGGAATTGCATTTGAATTATTGTTGTGTGTTTTATGCTTTCAATTTGTTACAAAACACTTCGTTCAGAATACGCCAAAAAATAAACCTATAAAAGAGAACTGCTGCTTCAAAAACAATATACACAAAAATCTATCGACTCTACCTCATCCCTATGACTATCCTAGCTTGGGTTTAGTATAGTAATGCACACAGTATTACTGCTTGGTAGCAGAAATAGCTATGGTGGCAGTACTTCCCTGGACGAACTCTTTTACAACAAGCTCCACTGCTACGGAAAAATGTTTGTATGCCTATTGTTTGGCCGAATACAGTGAAACCATACTTATTTTGTTACATGTCTACTTCTATACAACCTTTCTTTTCACAAACGAGAAAATTATGAATCTCAGTATGTTTATTAACCTTAATTGCAGACTGCGCCGTAATGGGATCTCGATTGGCGATCCGACCCGAACCGCTGGCGTGGGCACTGACGGACGGGCAGCTACGCGCCGCGCTCGCCTGCGCAGCCGCATTATCAGAGCCCATTAAAAAAGCTACCACTGCCGCTACTAGAGCCAAAGCCGTCAGAAAGGTCAGTTATATCAGATAAACCACGTGTAGTAAATAAAATTATAAGCCCTAAAATTTTTCTCAATCGTTACAAGTATACCCAGGTAAATCTCTTGCAAAATATTCCTGCCTGCAATATTCGCGTAAAATTGTGGACAAAATTCAAGTACGTTACTGATAGCTATATTGCCTGATCATCATTCTAACGCAGCGAAAACGATACTAATTAAAAATTAAATGAGAATAATTGTACATAACTAAATTAACCAATGTACAACTGGCGGTGTTATTGCTAATCATCAATTCCTTTCAGGCAACCTTAGGATAGACAATTAGAAGCAAAGGGGGTGCATCCAATGACTAACTTCTAATAATAATAATGTTTACTTATATACTTATACCTTTGTAAGAAAAATGCATGAAAATAATAACAAAAAGTACATGTGTATTGTCTCACCATATATACAAACTTAGAAACACATTTAGGTATAGTCTCAACACGCGGCAACCCATTCCATGTCCTGCATTTAATTTAAATAAGTAGTTTATTATTTATTTCACGATAGTACGTCATCAACTGTCCACCGAGACACTAGCCAAGGAAATTTGCCATCTTAACTTGTAACTTTATTACTATTAACATACTTTTAACTTTTTGGAAGTCTTTCTCTACGTGCTACACTACTGCTTCGACTATGCTACATGTGCAGTAAAGGCACTGAGCTAACTGGGCTATGCAACATGATAGGGTAGAAAAAACGAAATTTACCACTTTAATCTGTGTAGTCCTTTTTTTAGTTACAGGGAATCTTCCCTAAACGGGGAATATTAACTGTAACAAGTACATTTTAGAGTTATGTAAATTTGTGAAACAGAAACAGATTTATTAAAAAGAGGAGTTAGTAATAAATTTTAGACGTGCGTGGAAATCTGATGGTGCTATCTGAGACTCAATCTGGCAATAGTTTACTCTGCCGCCATTGGTTAAAGGGGCACATGTGACTTTTTTTTAAATTTGTTATGTATACTGCCGTGATCAGCAAATAAAAAGCTGATCTGTCAATATTTTTATGTTTTTCGTAGGTTGATAAGGTATCAAGTTGCCGCAAGAGATAAGCAGATTTTTTTAATATCATTTTTTAAACGTTATTTTGTCAGTTTTGAGTTTTTGTCAGAGCGCTCTTTCAACTAACAACGACAGTACTGTCCTCTGATTGCACTACGCCACAAAAATTGATATAACATGGGTATTAAAATTATTATTCAGTAAAAATACCGAATAATTGCTTTCGCATTGGCGATAAATCAAATGTGCAGAAAACTAGAGACTTGGCTTTTGGAAAATTGTTTTTACAAAATCAAAGAATTTTTTAAATATGTTTACTAACTTCAAAACACTGTAGTATATATTAAAAATTAATATTGCAGTAGTGTAACGTCTGTGAGATATACTGCACTCAGTAGTAACTTGTTTATGAACTTTTATTTAAAGTCTGTTCCAATCCATTATGCCAGAAAAGTAAACAAAAAGTAAACCAGTTTGGTTAAAATTCGAAACCAATCACTCAAGAAATGAAATAAATAACATTTTCATGTATATTTTGAAGATTTCGACTTGATATCTCATCACTTTTTCCTGCAACATTCATTTGATTAACATATTAGAATCTCTTTTCAAAAATGTTAGTTCAAAAGCGAAGTTAGTAATCAAATATAGATTTGTGAATAGTCTACGGTTGCATAGGAAGTACATCATACGTCTGTACGGAAATAACTTATTCGATTATTATAGATTAGTAATTCGAAAATTTTGTCACTATTGAACGAATGTATAAGTGTAAGATTTGAAGGAGGATTTAAAATTAGATTTCGGAAATTTTAAATTTGCTTTTATAGGTTATGTAAGAAAAAATTTGTAATCTCATGTATGAAATATCATCATTCAGTATTGAATCACGTTTTTTTTGTAGTAATGGGCAGCGAAATCGCAAAACCTATTTTTATTATATAAAACCCAGTTGATCCAACTGATTGCATTAAACAAATCAATTCATTCAATTAATCGATTTGTAGTTGGCAGTATAGTTGGCCATCGCTAAACAGTCTATGGTCGGGTCAATAATCTGTTTGTTTACTTTTCTGACACATTGAATTGGATCAGATTTTACCTATGTTTTGATGCAAATAAAAATCATTTCATTTCAACAACATTTCACAGATCGAGGAGCCTCGCGAGCAGATCCAAAGTCGCTCGTCGACGGGCGATCGCGACATCCTGGCACGCATGTTCGCGAAACATGATGTTCGCGAGACCTCGTATCATCTGCTCGCGCCGAGGATCGACCTTCACCTGTGCGACGATCCTGGCTGTAAGTTAAGAAAGGTTCAAGTTTTTTTTCATGATACAAAATGATGGAGCGAACAAATCGTGTGCCTGATTGTAAGCGACACTCCTGTCTATAATAGTTGCAGTGTTGCTCAGAGCGTTAAGTCGCAAAAATCTGAGGGGCACTGCCACTGCGCCCGTCACCCTGAGACAAGTTGACAAGTCCCATATACCTGTAATTTCACCAGCACCCTTCCCCTTCAAAACCGGAACACAGTAATGCTCACATTACTGCTTGGCAGCAAAAATAGGTAAGGTGGTTTTCCCTGAACCAACTCTTTTACACGGAGCTCTACTGCTAATAAAACTAAACATGTTTTATTTACTCACACGTGCCTCAAATATGTTGCCATACCTCTGAGAGCATAATACCTGATATCGTCGTACCAACGCATCTGTGGTCGTCTTCTTGGGCATTTCTCGCCCTACGGTCTCCATTCTACCAGTGCCTTGCACCAAGAGTTGCTTGCAGGCGACATGGCCAGCCCACTCCCACTTAAATTTCGCAACCCGTTTAGTAACATCGCTCACTTTACTTTGCTCCCTGAAACATTTGTTTCTTTTACGGTCTCTCGGCGTGACTCCTACCAGTTTTCTTTCCATTGGGCCACCTGAAGTTTATGGAGGATCTCATTAGTAAAAACCCACGTCTTCAGCCCTATACGTAAGCACAGGCAAAATACACTGGTCGTGAATGCGAGATTTTGTTCGATATTTATATCAATAATAACTGTGAACGAGCTTCCGTGTTGTGATATGTAAATAATTAGTTTTCGTCCAAATAACAAGTCACGTCTATCAGCATTGTTAGCGACTATTTTATTAAATCGTTACCTGTTAAATCGTTGTAAAAACATTGTCTTTTGACAGTGGGCAGGTCAGAAATGCCGTTGCTGACGACTGGCGGTGCTCTACAAGTGACCTTGGTCAGCATACAGGCAGACTTGTTCCCCTACCACAAAGCCACAGGGGACAGGAGACATTGGAGAGGATATAGGTAAAAATGACATCAGCAATAATTATACTTTTTTTTTCTTTACACACTCAACATAGCCCCGCACTAGGGAAACCCTGTGTCGCGGGTGTCATGGACACACATAGACAACCACAAATTACACCCAAACTCCCGAGAGAAATAAATGTAGGCCATACAAATATTTCTCCCGACCCGGGAATCGAACCTTTCGAACCGTTTGGCCATGGAGGTACTCAATATTTAACATACCTGGTCATACCTGTTTTGTAATGTTGAAAAACGATACGCCTAGCACAAGTAAACTTACTTAAAAGGAACATTGAACCCAGAATATACTGAAATATATTAGAATGAGAGTAACGAAGTTAACGCCGGTGGCAGTTCCCGCAACTCCCAAATCAGAACCAATTTGGAAAGGTTCGTTTCGTAACTTAATTATACCGGGAATTCCAGATCAGAGAATATTACCCTTATCACTACGCTTACAGTTCTATTATAATGTACTCTAGAGACTTTCTTTCCTACCAAAACAGCCTTTAAAGGAAGTAAAATTTTTCCATATATTCCCAGAAGTTACTATCATTGTGTTAGGTTAACCTTCCCGGTGCTTTAACCTCAGGCACCCTATGATTCCCTATTCTGTCCGTGAGATGGCCTTCATTGTAAAAAAAGCTATAGTCTTTCGTCAGGCCGTCATGACAATCAATATTCACCTCACTAACAGTCACCAACTCAAATGCCGACTACCTGACTTCAGGTATTTCATCTTCATACTTGACCCCTGAACTGCTAAATTTCCTTTTTGACATCATAACATACTAAGATCCTTAATGTTCGCATTACCATGATAACACTAACTTAAATTCATATGTTTTAAAACACTTTTCGTTTTTATTTCAGAGAGTCAGCAACCCCACATAGTCAATGGTTATCGCAGGCCCTATCGTCGTTTTGTGGCACGCTGCTGGAGTCACTGGACCCCAGACCTATTGCACCCAGTAATAAAGTAAGTTATCACATCAGGATAACCACTGACAACAAAAAAAAGATGTCAAATTAGTTCATACGCCCATAGAGTTTGTATTTATTCACGATTTTTTTTGTCTGTATGTAAGTTACGCCGTTAGTGTTGATAAAGGACGACATGTTTCGCGTAGCGGGATTATAGTGGTACTTATAAGCCATAGTATAAGCTAGAGAGAGTTGTAAACAATTTCCATTAAAAATTACAGCATCAAAAGTATAGTCTGTTTTGTTCCAATCCATTTTCAACAAAAAGTAAACAAAACTGTTTGGTTAAAATTCTAAAGCAATCACTCAATAAATCGAATAAGTAACACTGTCACGTATATTTCGAAGATTTCGACTTGATATCTCATCACTTTTTCCAACAATATTTATTTGAATAGCATCGTAAAATTTTACGTATTTGAAAAATGGTAGTCCAAAAGTGAGGTTATTTTTCATCTATACATCTATGACTTATCTATGGTTGCATAGTGTTGAACGAAAAAAACATTCGGTTCATTCGTTTAAAGTTTTTGTAATCGGTTATTAAATCGTATATTTCAATCTCAATCGAACGAGTATCTAAGTATAACGATTTGAAGGAGGTCTTTAAATTAAGATTTCGGAGAAGAATTTTAAATATGCTTAATAGGCTATGTTCGGTCTCGGTTTTCCCTAATTATTATTAGGGAAAACCGCTAGTATGACTCAATTAAACAAATCGATTCATTCAATTAATTAATCGATTTGTAGTTGGCATTACAATTGGCCATCACTAAATCATCTATGGTCGGATCAGTGACTTGTTTGTTTGCATTTTGTTGAAAATGGCTTGAAACGAAGTATACCATAAATTTGTTTGCCTTTGTGTTCGTTAACAGAAGAAAAAGAAGACAATAATGGCGCGAAAGTTGCCCGTGACAAATCTTTATGTAATTATTTATTTCAATAGCTGTCAGAGTCCCAATGCAGCGAAAAGACCTCCCCTAATTTAATCCCATCGCCTCTATTTTGGAACCTTGCGGACGAATCGAGGATAAAGCAGCCCAAGTCGCCGCGCCGATTCTTGCGTGGTCTGTCGCGACGTCGTTGGATGTCTTCCAGGACCCACTCGGTAATTGGGGTCTATTTATCAATGTGCGACCGCCATGCCTTGGCCATCCCAAAATCAGCTTCATGGATATTGTGCCAGCTACGTGGGGACCTCGCACTGTTTGGAACTTAGTATATTAATTCGCCGTTCAGTATGTTGCGCTCTGTTAGTTACCCTTTGGTAAACCCTAGGGGCTGAATTTTAGTTGCGCTATAAGTTTCGAATAGGCGGGATACATATTATGCTCTTCAGATGTTGTTGGTACGTCGATTGGTTTCCTTGTCTTGCCTGTTGCCGAAAACTGCTATCTATGATGAATTCATCAGCATGGCCTACATGTCCACTGATACGTTTCATGGTACTTGACACTATTTGGGTCGCTAATATGATCATTTGAAGTTCAACCTTAAGGCTTGCTTCGCTTAGATCATATATATGTTGGAATTCCAAGACTTAAAGGTAAAATAGCAATACATACCAAAACGGATATTGCTAAGTGTTTTTTCACCGACGCCTATACCGTTGGATATTCAGAAAGTTAAGAGCTTTTTAAATATCTTTCAGCGCTGAAGTGAATAGTTCTGGATCTCATTTTCACACACTTATGAATTTTGAATGATGATTCTTCGATTTTAACTTGATGTCAGGTCATTGTTAAGTCTTCTATGTATTGGAGAATGATTGTTTTGGATAAGGCTTATGTTGTGTTTACATTTTAATTTATAAATTTTGTAAAGGTTAAACATAAACATTTGTAAAATTCATTGTAGTTTTCCATTAATTGGTGTATGTGCGATGATGGTTCGTAATGGAGAAAAAGGATCGAAAATCCATCAGCTCTGCAGGAAGCTAATTTTGCGGCTCATTGGTTCTCTGTGACTTTAATGGAGCAGAATATTCTGTTTTGCTATATCTGTCTTGTCTCGTTTTTTTTGTGTAGTATTTTATTGGTATAATAATGGGTCCATTGGATAGGTTTCCTAACCTTTCACATCTTCATTTTTACCGCAAAATACAAATTTACTTCATTTCGCGTTAATTAAATAAAAATTATATATGTAACGGTATCTGGGGAAGATTTAATTTTTTGTTATGTCTGTTTTGAGGGAATCTGCTTATGAGGTTTTGGAGAAGTTAAATTATTTTAAGTCTATTGCTTTGTTGGTAATTATGTTTAAATGTTTCCTTTTCATACTCTCTGTTAAGCTCTCCTAAGGGTGCTGTAAAACAATTCTGGCCTCGGAACGACAAAAGTGCACAACTGTCGTATAAAGTACGCATAGTTGTGCCTTTTTTCGTTGCGAGGGCAGAATTTTTCTAATTAAATTTTTTTATTGGATACTTTTAGTCACTTTTAAGTCTTCTTGATACTGAACTTGAGTTTCTAATAATCATATTAATCTTAATTCAAGTAATTAAGAGTTACTCTGTGCAAATTTACATTTTCTTACCAATACTCTAGAATATCACGACAATCCGTTTAAAAGGCAATGTTGTACATGCCTGAAGAATATGAAGTAAGTTTACGCCTTGATATTAAAAATATATAAGGTGAAAAGAAAAACGACGATAATGTACTTTGTAGATAATGGAATTTGCACAACATTGTTTGTTGTATATCAGACTAGTCAATCCGAGAGGGTGGAGGAGCCGATGTCAAACGGCATCAGCCACAAACCAGCCTCGCAACTCAGTGCTTCCACCGCTCCGTCCAACGCCAACGCTACCTCACAAGGTAACTGTTGTATATGTAAACGTGTGTAGGGGTCTAGTTAAACGCTCACTGGTTGGTTACGCACTGGCTTTATTCGACACATAGGCTAGGTAGGCACTAGGCACTCTTACATAACAGTAACCTTGTATGTCTAACCTGCATATTTTTCACTAATAATCAGTCAACCTATGTACCTGCCAACTACCGTGAAATCTCCTTCCTCGTCCTTCTTTCGTCCTCCTCCTTCCTTCCTCCTCTTCTTTCCTCCTCTTCTTTCCTCCTCTTCTTTCCTCCT